CCCCAAAACCCCAAAACCCCAAAACCCCGGAGTCCTATGGGTTGCTGAGATAATAATTAATCGCGTTTAATAATCAATTCAATAATCTTTTAAGTTAAAAGGAACTAGTAAATATGACAACTTTAGCTGCTAAAATTGCGGAAATTGAGACTGAGATGGCCAGAACTCAGAAAAACAAGGCCACTGAAGGCCATTTAGGCCTATTGAAAGCTAAAATGGCCAAGTTAAAGAGAGAACTCATTGAGGGCTCAGGAAAATCAGGCGGTGGTGGAGAAGGTTTTGATGTCTCCAAAACTGGAGATGCCAGAGTCGGTCTCATCGGATTCCCTTCAGTAGGAAAATCTACCCTCTTGACTAAGCTAACAGGTCAATTTTCAGAGGCTGCTGATTACGAGTTCACAACTCTTACTTGTATTCCAGGTGTTTACAAGTACAAGGGTAGCAAGATCTAGCTGCTTGATTTGCCAGGTATTATCGAAGGAGCTAAGGACGGTAAGGGTAGAGGTAAACAAGTTATTGGAGTCGCTCGTACCTGCTCACTTATTTTAATTGTACTTGATGCTATGAAACCACTTACTCATAAGAGAATCATCGAAAGAGAACTAGAAGGCTTTGGTATCAGACTCAATAAGAGACCACCTGATATTATTATCAAGAGAAAGGACAAGGGAGGTTTGAACATTATGAAGTCTTAAAGTTTGGAGATGACTAAGATGTCAGATGACACTATTAAGTCCATTGCTCATGAGTATCGTATCAGCAATGCAGATATTTACTTCAAGTCTAATGCCTCTGCTGATGACTTGATTGATGTCATCGAAGGAAACAGAGTATATACTCCATGCATTTATGTCATTAACAAGATCGATCAAATCAGTATTGAGGAACTTGAATTACTTGATAAGGTACCTCACTATGTTCCCGTATCTGCCAAGGATGAGTGGAACTTTGATGAACTTATGGAAAAGATTTGGGACTATCTAGATTTAATCAGAATTTACACTAAACCTAAAGGTCAGATCCCTGATTATGAAGCCCCTGTCATTGTCCCAAGAGGCCATTCAACAATTGAGGGATTCTGTAATAGATTGCATAAAGCATTGGTAAAGGAGATGAAGTATGCTATGGTTTGGGGAACATCAGTAAAGCACAATCCTTAGAAAGTCGGTAAAGATCATTAGCTTAATGATGAAGATGTGGTCCAAATCATCAAGAAACTCTGAATTAGGTATTATTTTAATAGGATCTTCTTTACACATAAAATTATTAACTCCATTCAATTCATCTCACTCACTTATTAAAACACTTAAATATTTTCATTCACAATTTATTTATTATCAATTTTAGCTAATTAGTATCAGTTAATTTACACACCTTTTAGGTTCGATCATACTTATCAGTAATCTGAAAACTCATCAACAACATCTTTTTCTTTCTCAGATAGGGATTTTAACATCCAATCGAAAGCCATTTTATCTCTGCGACCTGCTTCTAGCTATATTCCAAAGTATTATTAAAGAATTATGAATATTTTAATTACTCTTTGATCCCACACAGGCAGTCTATCTATTAGTCTATAGCATTTCATACTGATGTAAGGAACATAAAGAAAGCACATGCCATAAATTAATGCTTGAACTACCCTTCTCTTAAAATAGTGTTGATCAATGGCATACCAAGAGAATATTTCAACAAATCTAAGATTTCTTGGTCTCATCATTTTAAAATTTATATTAAAATTAATAATTAGAATGGACACAAATCTAAAGTATATTTCTTCGGCAAATGCCAACAGCAACTTAAAAAATTATTACAATCCATCACCATTATACAGCAATCAAACACAAATAGGACAAGGTAATGCTAGTCACAAGAAGAATCCAACCTAAATCAACTTCATATAAAATTAGCCTAATTTAATTCAGAATAATTAGCATGGATTTTATGGAATGATTACAAATGAAACATAGATGCTAGATATTCTAGGTAGAATGTGCATGGAAGTAGATATGATGGTCAATAAACACAAAGAAGAAGAGTATCTACTGGACTTTGATTTAAATTTTCAGCATAATTATTAAACTCAAAATTTCCCTACTCTTATTCAGCCTTTGGAATCCAATCAAACTAGCAAAATCAATCAAACTAATTCTTAGAGTTAAGGAAAATCGATTCTAATGAATAAATCTAAATCTCCTTTAAGAATAGCTTAGAAAGCCTATGAAAGTAATAGTGAGATTACCAATAATAATCAAGAACAATCATCAAATAGTAAGAAGACAGAGATACCTCCAAATGATGACCTCATAAGAAGACTCTATGCATTTCAATCAAAGACCGAGGCTAAATAAAGACAGCTTGTTGAGCAGAGATAAGAATAGCTTAAGCAAGAACACCCAGGTGTACCCTAGCTTACGGCTACAAAGAAAGAATTCTAATCTCTTAAGCAAAGAGTCCCAATATATAAAAGGATAGAAGATGAGATTAAGAAAAAAGAGAACAAGATTCAACAAATCAAAGAAAAACAAGAAACTGAAAGGAAAATGAGGAATGCCTAGCTTGGAATAGTAGATGATGAGGAGATACTAAGAATGAAGAAGGAAAAAGACTTGATTTTGAAGGGTAAATTTAACATTGAGTCTTTTGAGCAGCGATATGAGAGAGAAATAAAGCAGTTGTTTGATAAGCAAAAGAAGAGGGAGTAGGAGCGATAGAATAAAGATGTCTCTAATTTTAGTTTTACACCTAACCTGAAAGCAAGCAGCAAGGCTAAATCCCCTCTCTAATCAACTAGGAACTAAGGACTAGAAATGTCTAAGAGCAATAACAGTAACACTTCAGTATCGAAATCAGTCAAAGCAGTTGAAGAATGATTAATAGAGTAGGGAGTGAAGAATAAGATTAAGCAGCTGGAACTTTAAAAGATGATGACTCCCAGTTTCAAGCCTAATCTAAACTAACTTTCAATGAGAATAGTTCAGAATAATAAGGATAGCAGTAAAAATAGTACTCTAAATTCAAACAGAAGGAATAGAATGAACAGTGATGACGACCTTCAAAGGCATTTCAAGTCTTTGAAAAATGATTTGCATTACAACACAGAAGATAAGTTTAATAATTTGGAGGTAAATGAAGAGGAGAGAGACTACTTCTCCTACATGGCCAAGACTATTGATTAAAAGTAAGATTAAAACATCCTCTCTGTTTGATTATTAAGTACTATACTATGCTATATATTATAAATTCTTATTTCCTTTCTTTCATAACTTACTTATATCGATCAAATAGACAGTCTTCGGGGTTTTGGGGTTTTGGGGTTTTGGGGTTTTGGGGTTTTGGGGTTTTG